CTCGACCGCCTGCAGCCGACACCAGTCGACACCACCCCCCTGGCGAGCCCAAGGAACAACAACAGCAGCAGCAGCAGCAGCAGCAGCAGCAGCAGCGTGGCGGGCGCAAGCTGCGCTCGCAGGAGGCGACACGCTTCAAGAGCGACCTGTCGGCCTACTTTCCCGACTATGACGAGGTCATCGGCAACGACCCCAAGGAGGAGCACCTGCTAAACGTCGAGACGCCCATTGTCGTCGTCGACACCTTTCCGCGCTACTTTCGCGGCAAGGTCGTGGCGCCGCTGTTCACGCCGACCCAGGCCGAGCCGGTGCCCGCTGGCTACGACCACGGCGACTACCCCGTCCGCGGCTACGGCGACGCGCTGTTCGACGACCCCTTTGACTCGCAGCGCATCAACTTTGACTTTCTCGGCAAGAGCTACAAGGGCAAGACGCTCGACAGCGCCCTGCCGGACGCCTTGTACCTGCCGATCCACAAGAGGGCCGAGAGGCTCGAGAGGTCGATCCGGAACACGGAAAAGGGCAGGGCGCAGCACGAGAAGGACCAGATCGTCAGGCTGCTCGAGGGCCTGCAGGGCCACGACTGGCTGCGGATCATGGGTGTCAGCGGCGTTACGGAGAGCAAGAAGAAGTCGTTTGAGCCTGCGAGGCGGCACTTTATCAAGGGCTGCCAGGCCATTATTGACAAATTCCGTCAGTGGGCACAGGAGGAGAAGAGGCGCAAGGCGGAAAAGGAACGCGCTCTGGCGGAAGAGGCCGACGAAGAAGAGGACGACGAGGAAGAAGAAGACGACGACGACGAGGCTGGGGAGGATGAAGAGGCTGTGGAAGATGAGGACGACGAGGCAAGGCAGGAAATCGGCGACAGCGAAGAAGAAGACGACGATGACGTTCATGCTAGTGACGGCGACCCACCCGACGAGCTAGATTTTGACGCCTCGATCGCGAGACAGCTTCGCGAAGAAGCGGCGGCCAGAGCCAACATGGCGAAGTCCAGTCGGAAGCGACCACGTGGCGCGTCGATTCAGCCAGAAACACCCCTGCCACCACCGCGGGAGTTCAAATCATTCTTCAAGAAGAAGCACGAGCGTGACGCGGCGCTTAACAAGCATCGCCGGGCGGGGCGTCGGGTTTTGGCCTGGGGTGAGCCGGTGCCTGAACTCGAGGCGCGGGAGTTCGAGCTACCCGAGGAGTATCTCGACCCCGAGACCATGAAGGCTCACGCCCGGAAGAGGCGGCGGCAGCGCCGTGGTAGCAGACATTGACAGGCTTGTGGGAGTGGGAGTGGGTATGTGCGATATGTGATATCATTCGAAACCCTGTGCTTGGGATTACTCGAACAGTGTAGTATGTGGTCTTTTTATGATACCAGTCGGAGCTGGCAGGCAAAGGGTTATTTTTTAGGGGGGGGGATGGAGGGCACGGAATGCGGCTTTCTCATGGTACCTCATGGTAGGAACATGCTATCAGTCAGGCGTTTGACCCTTTCGTCAGAGCGTCACGGTGTTTCGTGATGGTCGTGACGAAAGAATTGAAGTTTTTTGTTCATACAGTGCCACATTGGCAAGTTCTGCTTGCGCTGACCAGAATACTTTCGTGGTTGTACTTGTAAAGTCCCAGTTCTCCGGCCAGCAGAACACAGTCACGAGTCACATCTCTCTGGGACAATATGACATGCTGTGGTTTTGGGGTTATGTATTGCTAGGATCATCTAGGCAGCGCTGTGATTCCCTGGTATCTCGGCGCCATTTTGCCGACATTCTAGAGGCGGTATGTGCAAAGGGGTTTGATGCATCAGCCGAAAGAACCGACTTGATCACATAGTATCAACTGCGCACTGTTCCGTGCCTTTGTCCCAACTCTGACCAAATAGAAGGGTCGAAAGCAGGGATGAGGATCATTTTATGTCGTCATCCTACCATTGCCAGGCCCCGTGTGTATATCTCGACCCACGCAGCTCACCGCGTCGCAGAGGCGCTCCCGGTGTCAAGATACCAGAATGGCGAAAGAGCCTACATGAAGGTCACGATGGAAGCGGCGGCTCACTTGGGCAAGGCTTGAAGCGGGGTCTACTGATAGGGACGTGGAAAGCGAGGCGCACAATGGGTTTGATATGGCGTTACTCTGAACTCATATCAGACCTCAAATGGGTATTTGATCCGCTGATCGTGCTAGGCTCAAAACCCCCATCTTGGACGCTTCCAACAGCACCTGGCCAGTCGCGACGACGTGGTGGCACCTTTTTGAAGCGTGGAACAGTTGGACCGAAACCAGGAGGCATAGGTGTCTCGGGCTTGCCGTCGTTTGATTCTACGTAATCATCAGGAAGCGCGTGGATCATCACGTCTTCGCCTCTTAGAAGCTTCACCATCTTAAAAAAGCCACTTGATGAAAGCAAGTCGTTCCGCCTGGTGTTACTCAGGTAAGCAAGCGTACAAGTAGACGGAGGGGCTTGCGACCCCTGGCCTGAAGTAGCTCTACGGATTATTAATATGGGAAAGTACAAAGTCCTCGAGTCGGGACCCACTGGTAGCTTCCCCTTGGCACGGTCCAGTCGCGGATACCTGAGGTAATCAGTTGCAGACGCGCCGTTCTGAGCTGCCGCATCTCGACAGCACCCAAGGTTCTATCAGCCAGGCTTCGCATCTCGTCCTACCTGCCTGGTTGACTCCGCTCAACAACCTTCCCCAGCATCTCTCCACCGTGGGGTCGATTGAGGCAACGCCGCCGTTTTTCTTCGTTCGCAACGCCTCTTAACCTTCTTTCTGTTCCGCCATCTAGGTCCCCCTCCGACGCCCCCCCCCCCCCTGCCCGACCCAGACTTCTGTGAAAGAAAGGTCGGACTTTGCCAGGATGACCGAACGTTCCCGCCAGCGACACTCCTAGATCCAGTTATTGCCACGGCGCATCAATTGCCAGTCGCCATGTCTGCGCCATCATCCCATACCGAAGCCGAGCCGGCGGAGCTGGACATATTCGAGAGCCTACCTCATCCCAAAGATGAACCTATGCGCCCATACTTTGTCATCAGGCAAGATGTCGAACTCGAGATCAACTTTCGGGAAAAGCGCATCGTCGGCAAGTGTGAGATTACGATCGCTAGCGTTCGGGGCCACAGCATGGAAGAGATTGCCATCGACGCGCGACAAACGGAGATTGACGTCGACAATATCGAGATTGAGCTGCTGAAAGACACGCAACCCGTTGGCGCACCAAGGAAGATCGCGGCCACGTATGAGGATCCCTACAAGCTACTGGACTATCCGAGTCACTACAACTGGAATGCGACGCATCACGACCTTAGAAGGCTCCGCATGCGACCCCTCACACACTCGCGACGGAAGGACGCAGCCGCTGAAGATAGGGAAACAGTTGGCTCAACGCCCGTCGACGGGTCCATTCGCATCAACCTGAAAGACCTGGAAAGAACGAAGGACTTGAAAGAGGAAGGCAACCAGAAGCGGCCGATCAAAATCCGGGTTTCATCGGCAAACCCAGGATCCTCCACCACCGAATCTCCATTCGACCCGAATCCTTTGGTTTCACAAGAATACCGTGTGACCATACCATTCACCACCAAGAACATTCGAGACGGAATCCAGTTTGTTGGGGTCGACCCAGGCGATTTCAAGTGGCCTCATGTCTACACGCGGCACTCTATCGAACCGGGAACTGCGTCGTGCATTTTCCCATGCATTGATGACCATGGCCAGAGCTGTGCCTGGTCCCTTGCCATCAAGCTTCCAAAGACGCTGGGCGATGCTCTGCGTCAACCTCTTGCGACCCAGAACGGTGTGAACGGTCATTCCCGCAGCGCCGGCCAGAAGTCACAGCCGCACAATGACGATTATGCGCTCTCTGAAGAGGACAAGCTTCTGGAAATGACGGCCATCTGCTCAGGTTTCATCGCCGAGGAGTTGATCGACCCAACGGATGACTCCAAGAAGATCATGCTATTTGAGCTTGACAAGAAGGCGTCTGCCCAGAAACTAGGCTTTGCCGTTGGGCCCTTTCAGCTTGTTGATGTCTCTGCAGCCTTCCGCCCCGAGGCGGATGATGAGAAACTCGGGGCAAACGCGCTGAAAATACAGGCCTTCTGTTTGCCTGGGCGTGCCGAGGAAACATTAAACACGTGTCAAGCTCTTCCGTCAGCGGCCGACTTTTTCACCCTCACTTTTGCACGTTATCCTTTCGAGGAGTACCGACTCTGCTTTGTCGATGACATGGTGAACGACACAATTGCCGTACACTCGTTGTCACTTGTGAGCACGCGCCTGCTCTACCCAGAGAACGTTGTCGACCCTGATGCGGAGGTTGACATCTCGAGGAAACTTGTGCAGAGCTTGGCCGTCCAATGGAGCGGCATCAATCTTCTTCCCAGTCGGCGTAACGACCTGTGGGTCGTTATCGGCATAGCGTACTACATGGCCGACTTATACCTCAAGAAACTGTGCGGTAACAACGACTACAGATTCCGCATGAAGTCCATGGTCGACGAGCTGGTCGAGGTTGATACGGGGCGGGCATCACTCTACGACCTCGGCCGCAGCTTGCATGTTGGCGACTTTGAGATGGACTTCATGACTTTGAAGGCGCCCCTTATCATGTTCATTCTTGACAAGAGGCTTGCGAAAGCACCTGCGCAAACAAACCTCACCCGGATCATTTCGAGGATTCTGTACAAAGCGAACATCGGAGAACGTCAGGGCGACTGGCTGATTAACACGGAGTCCTTCCGGAGATTCTGCGAGAAGAACTCTAAGAGCAAACTTGAATCATTTTGGAAGCAGTGGATCTACGGCACAGGCTGTCCACGATTCGATGTCCAGCAAAAGTTCAACAAGAAAAAGCTCTGCGTCGAGATGATGGTTCGCCAGGTTCAAGTCAAGGAGAGGGACTCGAATCGGGCTCTTGACAAGGATGACTTCCTGCGACTGGTGAAAGAAAAGTTATACGACGTCGCCATAGGCGAGATCCAGCCCTGGTTCACGGGACCTATGACCATCCGCATCCACGAGGCGGACGGTACACCTTACGAGCACATAGTTGAGGTGCGCGAAGACGCCGCGGCCATGAAGATGTGCAAGTTCGACATCCCCTACAACACAAAGTACAAGCGCCTGAAGCGTAGTCGACGTCAGCGCGATAGGGCGGCTGCACAGACCACGGCCGACGGCGAAGTCAACGAAGACTCCCTCCTGTATTGCTTGGGTGATGTTCTACAGAGCCAAGACGACATTCAAGAATGGGACTTGCTCGACTGGCCTGCTGACATGGAGAAGAAGATGGACCAGGAATCTTACGAATGGATTCGTATGGACGCCGACTTTGAGTGGATTTGCACGATGAAGACAAACTCCGAGTCGTACATGTACGTCTCGCAACTCCAGCAAGATAGGGATGTGGTTGCGCAGCAGGATACAATGCTCTACTTGGGCAGGTCTCCGCCTCATCCACTCGTCTCTTCCATTCTCACGCGTACTTTATTCGACAAGCGCTACTTTCATGGCATTCGCACGATGGCAGCCAGCCAGCTCCACAGACATAGCGTTCCGGGCCCGAAAGATTCCATGGTTGGTCTCTTTCACTTGCTACGAGCATTCACTCAACTTTGCTGTTTCCCAGGCACACAGATGCCCCGTCCCAACGACTTTTCGGATCGGAAGCAATATCTTGCCCAAAGCGCAATTCCACTGGCCATCGCAAGGGTGCGGGATGCAAATGGCAAATGCCCTGAGCGGGCACGGCACTTCCTCTTGGAGCAGGTTCAGTTCAACAATAACGCTAACAACCCGTTTTCCGACAACTTTTATGTGGCAAAGCTCCTAGAGGCACTTGCCACCAGCATGATCCCCGATAAGCGACCGGACACGGAGGTGATGCTCGACGACATCATACGGACGGATGAGGAGGACCAATTCCTCCAAAACGCTCTCACTGAAATTGACCGGTACCGCAGGATGGACGAGTGGGCAAACTCTTACCACAATATTTGGACCATCACAGCGCTTGATTGCAAAAGGCGTCTCATGAAAGCCGGGGTCATTCCCAAGGATGGCCTTGACTTTATGCAGTACCTGCAGGATGAGACATACGACCTCGTTCGTATTAAGGCTTTTGAGGCTCTGGTCGATCTTGGCTTCATGATGGACGATGTTGTCTTCCCTCATCTGCTTCGAACGCTGAGCACAGACAAGTCGCCATTCGTGCGCCACAAGTTGCTCAAGGTCTTCAGCATTGGCCTTGCCGGCTTGGCATTTGGTGAATTCTCCAAGCCCAATAGTGCGATCAGACCACAGACGGGAGATATGTTCTTGGACGGCCTTGCGGATGAACCGAAGGATGATATGCTCGTCGTTGAAGCCGGTGATAAGGAAACCACGGAACGTCGGCAGGAGTATCTGCGCAAGCATGATCTCCACACGGCACTCACGGCGCTCAAGGCAGAGATGAAAGACCAATTCGCCCATCATGAGATCACGATCCAGAAGACTCTCTGGTATGCTATCAACCAGGACACTCTCGGTCGAGCGGAGAAGGCTACACTTCTAGAGTTTTGTGGGCTCATGTTCGATGCATCCGACGAGTGGATTGTCTCTCTCCCGCTTCCTCAGCGATGGAAGGTGTCTCGTCCAGCGCACCGTGTTCCGGGCAAGGTACGAATGTCTTTTCATCTCTCCAACGTATACTTTACTTTACTGATCTCTCTCAAGCTCATCGTTACGTTTACGCCATACTACCGCGACTCTCTTCCTCGGCCAAAAGAATTGCCGAAGGCACCGGAGCCTGCTCCTGTTCCTCTTGTCGAGCCGCTTCCCAAGCCTGTCGAACCGAAACGCGTCATTGTCAACCCGAAAGTCAAGGCCAACAAGGTACCACCGCCAGCCGCTCCGGGTTCTGAACCACGTCAACCATTGCCAACAAAGGTGGCGGCTCCTCTTCGTGACTCTCCCGCCGCAACCCCTATTCGTGTGTCACCTGCCCTCAAGGAATCGTCCCCTCGACCGCTGTCTGTTCCTGAGCGTCAGGGCAGCGCACAGCCCAGGACCGAGTTACCCTCGTCACATAAGGTTCCGAAACGTCCACGACCAGACAAGATGAACGGCGGCGATGACCAGTCGCCAATCGCTAAGCGTCCAAAGATTGGCAAGGAGGGCTACAGCGGCACTGCTCGCCCTCGAAAGATCGTCACCATAAGGCACCCAGCACTGCGGCGGATCCTGAAGGACCTCAACGTCAGATCATCCTCTGGTGTGCCGCGCAAGCCCAGCTCATTGCAGAGCGTGCGTGCCTCACCTGCCGCCGATGGCACCATTCAGGCCAAACCTGCGCGAAAGCCTCTTCCTAGCGGCGGTGACAGCGTACGGAAGCCCCTTCCATCGGGTTTGCCAACCGGCACACCGTCGTCAAAGCCGACTGGCTCATCGGCAGCCCACTCTTCGTCCACATCTGTGTCGACGCCTACGCCCACGCACGCCAGCCCGCCACCTCCGAGCAGTTCTGGAGGCCAGCCTGCGGCCGCGCCGAAGAGACTCAAACTCGTCATCAAAAAGCCGACTCCGAAACCTCCGCCAGCACCATAGGAGGAGCCGTCACCAGACTTTTGACTCATCTTTTTTCATCCCCGCCCCATGGAGCTTCTTCATGGGTTGCTCGTATAATAGCTTGCTTTCGATCCGTCTTTCTCTTCCTTTTCTGCTACTACTCACTTTCCTGCGGAAATTTCTCTTGCTGCTTTTCTTCTTCTTCATGAATTTGTGTCCGTCGTGGCATCGCAAGGCGTTGGGGATTTGGGGCCGGCTGGTTTGGCCGGGCCTGGTAGGGGCTGGGAATATGGAAAAGGGGGGGTAAGGGGTCCAAGATTATGCCTCTCGGTCTCAAGACCACCTCTGGTGGGGGAGTCAAGCGGACGGAAGCGGAGGGCAGGTGCGCACACCAGTGGTCGAACGCTGTGTAGCTAGCTAGCAAGCAAGAGGCCCGATGAAATCAAGTCTTGCAAGTTGACGAAGATCTGTTGTGTAGCAGACACTAGTATGATGAAAGCGTGATGATCGTGATCTGTCCACTCATGGGCCAATACAGCAGGCCGCACATGAGTCTAGAGACAAAGTCGATGGACATGATTCTTCGTGGCTTCCATTGTCAATTACCACACCACAAAGGAGAAAAAGATAGCTATGACAATACTACAAGACAAGAGATGACAAAGCCTCCCAAACGCCCAACGAATAGTCTACCGGGGCTGTAATGTATGCGTAAAGGGGGGGTGGGCGCGCGCCGGGGCATATTTCGACGCGCCCAGTATGACCCGAAACCACCTCACCAGGCCACAATCTTTACGCGTGTGCGGGCTCCTCATCCCTCTTCCCCCCCTCCTTCTCCGAAGGGGCTTCTTATGTGTGATGTAA